CGCTCTCAGGAGCTCAGTGAATCCCAGCGTGGAACTGTGACAGGATGCCACCTGTGCAACAAATCCAGTCATGAAATTTGCTCACTCCTAAATATTCCACGGTCAACTGTCAGCTGTATTATAAGAACGTGGGTTTGGGAATGACAGCAACTCAGCCACGAAGTGGTAGGCCACATAAACCCGTCCAACATCAGTGTGTGACCTCACAAATGCGCTTCTGGAAGAATGGTCAAAAATCCCCATAAACACACTCCTGAACTCTGTGGACAGCCCTCCCAGAAGAGTTGAAGCTGTTATAGCTGCAAAGGGTGGACCGACGTCATATTGAACCCTATGGATTAGGAACGGGATGTCACTCACAATAAGTTCATATGCGAGTAAAGGCAGGTGAGCGAATACTTTTGGCAATATAGTGTATGTGCATGTTAGTGTGTAGGTATGTGTGGAAAGGATCTATTTAAAAGAGAACAGAATTCCAGATTTCTCTTATGAATAATTCAATTGATTTTGACTTCTATAAAGTTGCTAGAAGGATCTCCAATAACCAGGGGCTGGGGGGGGATTTGCTTTTAGGACCATATGGTGACCATGCACGATGTGTTGGATGCTCAGTGGCAGTACGACAACAATAAGGATGAGACTTATCTCCGGAGGGTGATCTTCCCTTTGGAGAAGTTGTTGGTTTCACACAAGCGACTTGTTATGAAGGACAGCGCGGTAAGTGCCCTCTGATGACATTCCGGTTGGTGGCTTGGAACTGTAGTCCCCTTTGGCTCAGCCTGATCTGTTTTTCCAGGAGGGTTGCTTAAAAGGAAGAGGAGAGGCAGTTGATTGCAGACTGCTTTGGCCTTATACACCGGGGATATCAAGGCTCAGGGGCCGGATCCAGCCTGCAGGGCCGCCCTGGAAACAGTGAAGGATTGGCCTGCAGTGCCTCCGCCAGCAAAAACAGCTGTGTACAGCCAGGTTTTCATTGGCAGAGGGTTGCAGGAGGTCATCGCAGTCGAAAACGGAGCTCAGTAGCCCATTTTTCTGCTGGCATAGCACTCAGGCCATCATAGATTCCCCCAACACGAGTGATGTTGAGCTTCCATCCCCCCCTAAAGGTCAAACACAACCCTGAATTGAGTTTGACACCCCTGTTATACATGTAATATAATAAAATAGCAGAGTTGGAAATGACCTTGGAGATCTTCTAGTCCAACCCACTGCCTAGGCAGGAAACCCTATACCGTTTCAGACAGATGGCTATCCAACATCTTAAAGACTTCCAATGTGGGGGCATTCACAAATGGAGGCAGCTTCTGTTCCACTGATTAATTGTTCTCACTGCCAGGAAATTTCTCCTTAGTTCTAAGTTGAAATGGCCCAGTGTAAATCCAGAACATAATTAATTGTGCTTGGGAATGTTTCCAGGCCAGAGATGGAATCAGTTGTTGCTTTTTTTTTACAGACAAGTTGGGTTGCTTTAATCTGAAATAAGTTCAAGCTTGTTTATGTAAAGTGGCGCTTTAGGGAAGCTGGGAATTTGTGCTGCAGCAGCCCCCCCCCCTTTTTTTTTTGAAGGGCCCTGTTCATTTTCTTGAACGTAAGTTTTGTGACTTTTCTCTGAACACATGGCCACACATTAAAAAATGAAATTCTGAAGCTTCCTCTCAAAAGAAATTATACGCACACGGACATGCATGCATACATACATACGCACATGTTTTGATTCAGGAATGAAAAGTGGTGCAGGATTAATTGAGGCAAGATTATATGTTTTAGCTTTCCTCTGTGCTGCTTGTGCGCAGTGTTCAAAGCTATGAAAGGCGATGGTATTGTGCGTTTGCAAGGCTTAGAAATCAAAAGGAGCAATTCTGGCTGAAATGTAGAATTCCCTGCTAAGCCAGTCGCTGCTTTTCATTCAGGTGAATGCGATTTGCTACGGTGCAAAGATCATGCTTCCTGGATTACTGCGGTATGACGATGGGATTGAAGTCAACCAGGAAATAGTCGTCATCACCACAAAAGGGGAGGCGATCTGCATAGGTAAGAATGGAAACTTTGTTACTTCCAGGTGCTTTTCTGATGAATTCTTCCCAATCACATCTTTCCTTCCAGAGGCCTATGGAGTTTGTTTTTAGGCGATTATAACTGATTTTTCTGAGGAGTGATGCAGTGGCCTAGAGGTGGAGCTCTCACCTCACAATCAGGAGGCTGTGAATTCCATCCTAGGTAGCGGCAGGTATTTCTCTCTCTGGGCACAGTGAGTAAATATCAGCTGCAAACTCTGCATTGGTGACAGGAAGGGCATCTGGCCAGTAAACACTCAGCCCCATTCAGCTGTCCCGACTCCACTCTGCTGCAAGGGATTACGAGATCATTAAAAGACAAAACTGATTTCCGGGAAGTATACTATAAGATTGGTTAGCAATGCAAATCAAAAATAAATTAAAGAATGCTAGTGACAAATAATTGCTCTATTCAGGGGTTTAAATTACTTAATTTCTTTACTATATGCTACTTTGAAGTTCCCTGGTAGATAATGTAAATTACATCTCTAAAACGTATTTTACCTGTAGAGAGCCAGTTTGTTTGGCTGTTAAGGCATCAGGCTACAAAATGGACACACAGGAGTTCTAGTCTGCCTTAGACACAAAACCAGTTGGATGTTCTTGGGCCAATCACACACACTTGACCCTAGGAGAGAGGCAAAGGTTAGCAACTTCGGAAAAATCATGCCAAGAAAACTACAGGAACTTGTCCTGCAATCTTCCCAGAATTGGGCATGATAGAACAGGGGGGGGGGGGAGTCTTGCATTTGCCTGCTTTTAGATGTAAAAATGCAACCACAAAGATCACGTAAAATGATGCATAAATTTTATCTTAGGCATTTAGGCTAGGCATTTGTTTTGGACAAAGTAAATGTGTTTCTGTTGCCATGGCGCAAGAGGGAAAATTGCAGGGTTTACGAATTGTGAAGAGCTGCTTTTCCTGCAGATCAGAAATAAGATTCTGCTCCTCCTCTCCCCCCCCACCTTTTCTTGATTCTCACAAGGCATGTCTATAAGTGGCAAAGCTTTGTGTGCCCTTGCTCAGCTTTGAAATGTGTCCTCTGCGCGCACGCACACACATACACACCCACCCTGCATTTGCTCAGGCTGTATGTGAAATGATGATGAAGTTTATCCATTCTCTGAGTGCAGCTTGCTCTGCCCTTCCTGTCGCGTCGAGGCTTCAGTTCTGAGGCCTCGACGTTCCGTGGCTTCTAAACACCTTCCAGGCTCCCAGTGTTCTACTGGAAGTTGTGGGGATGTTTGGCTGGCTGCTGACTGGAACTGGACAGAGGAAGCAGAGCCAAACCCCTTTTCTATGGGGCCTGACTCAACAAAGAAGAATGAAACTGTCTGATCACATCTTGCTCTGACGGTCCTTTCTACAATGCCAAATCTAGAAATACAGGGGCGGGGGGAATGATACAAAATACTTCTGTCCTTGACTTATGACCACAATTGGGGCCAAAATTTCTGTTGCTAAGAGAGACTTACTGAGTTTGCCCCATTTTACGACCTTTCTTCCCAAGGCTGCGTGAAGCCTTCTTGGTTAGGAACGCTCAGCTTCTCTTTCTCCCTTTTCCTTCAGCTATTGCTTTGATGACCACGGCAGTGATCTCTACCTGCGACCACGGCGTTGTAGCCAAGATCAAGCGTGTGATCATGGAAAGAGACACTTATCCTCGCAAGTGGGGGCTTGGTCCCAAAGTAAGTTCTGGGTAGCCCCTGGGTTACTTGCCTTTCTTTGAAGGACCAGCGGATTCTGGGGTCCTGGATGCTCTGTCTTACTTGTAAAGTTTAAATGCCCTCCCTCAGATCATGATGATGTTACTTAGTCAGGTAATGAAATGTCTGCGAGTGAAGAGCTGAGCTCAGGGACTGCTACGTCACCGTAGTTCAAGCCTCTTCTGTTGGATTCTAGAGAGAAAAAATGTTTGGTTCTCTGTAGCAACACTGTCCAGAAATAAGAGAGACATTCGGTCATCCATTTTTCAGGTCTTTAGCGATGGACTTGGGGTGTTGCCATCCTCCGTATTTGGTCTCTTTCCCCTGGACTTTTTAAACAGGGATTTCCTTTGAGCTTTTGAAATTTTTTTAAAGCTTGACTCGATTTGAGGGGCAGCCCTTGACGCTCAATCTTTCTTGGTGAGCCAAATGATGTTTAAATAGCTCAATGAGCACTCTGTGCAAAGATGACACCCATCTATCACCCAAAACTGATGGCTCTCCAGTATAGACTGAGCATGCAAGAGTTGGGAGATTTCAACTCACTTAAAGCCATCCTGCGCTTTTGGACATCTGTTTTACCCAAGGAGCTCTCACCGCCTTTAAAATGTCCTGGAAACTGGATGTCCGTTCAGTATTTATTTTAGGACTTTTATTTTTGCATAGCGTATCGGCCAAAGGCAATGTTGAAATTGGAACGGTCTCCTTTTTCCCCCCGTCAGGCTTCTCAGAAGAAGATGATGATCAAGCAAGGATTGTTGGATGCTCATGGTAAACCTAACGAAAAAACTCCACAAACGTGGAAAAAAGACTACATAGATTATAACAGGTAACTATTGCAGCGCTTCTGTTTTAAGTCATAGCATTAGCACTTAAGACTTATATACCACTTCACAGTACTTTGCAGCCCTCTCTAAGCGGTTTACAGAGTCAGCCTATGGCCCCCAACAATCTGGCTCCTCCTTTTACCGACCTCGGAAGGATGGAAGGCTGAGTCAGCCTTGAGCCTATCAGGATCGAACTGCTGGTAGTGGGCAGAATTAGCCTGCAACACTGCATTCTAACCACTGGGAAGGGAGGGAGGACAGTAGCAATAGCACTTAGACTTATATACCATTTAACAGTTCTTTTACAGCCCTCTCTAAGCAGTTTACAGAGTCAGCCTATTGCCCCTGACAGTCTGGGTCCTCATTTTATTTACCTCGGAAGGAGGCAAGACTGAGTCAATCAGGATCGAATTGCTGGCAGTGGATAGAAGGGAAAAAGTACTTAGATTTATATAGCGCTTCACAATGCTTTTATATCCCCCTCTAAGCGGTTTACAGAGTTGGCCTCTTGCCTCCAACAATCTGGGTCCTCATTTTAAGCACCTGGGAAGGATGGAAGGCTGAGTCAACCTTGAGCCTGGTGAGGTTTGAACTCGCAAATTGCAGGCAGCCGGCAGGCAGTAGAACTAGCCTGCAGTACTGCACTCTAACCACTGCACCACCTTAGCTCTTGCTGGTTGGCATGCTTGTTTCTAGCCTCTTAAGTCAGCTGCACTAGAAAAGCGAGGGGGGGCTGCAGATGGGAGCTGGTCCTTTTTGGTTTGGGTTGGCAGGCAGTTATCCCTTTTTTGCCTGCTCTCATGGCTCTAGAGGGAGTCAGCCTGCTATATGAATCTGGGAAAGGTGCTTCCTGGCTCCCTGCATGTGGGTGTCTTATTTACGCCAGCTTCCCAGACATCACATTTCCCCTTCAGGATAAAAATAGGGCAGAGCAGGGTGGATTTGTCACTTCATCTTAACCAAACTCCCGTTTCTTCGCAGGGTTTCTGTAAAGAAAGAGACAGAAGAGAAGACGGAGCCAGAAGAGATTCAAGAGCAGCCAGAGAGGATGCCAAAGGTTGGTTGATGGATTGCAAAGTGTTTCCAATTATTTTAAGCATGAAATCTCTTTTGTTTCAAACGTTCAGCAATGTTCTGAGCTTTGAGCAGACGTTCTTTGAGTTTGAAACAAAAGACTCGAAAGATGTTACGTTTTGCATGCTCAGATCAGCTTGAAACCAAATGATTTGCAAAGCTTCAGTTTGTTGTGGCCCACTGGCGGCCAGTGGAGCTGGCAGCAGAGTCGGACAGTGAGGAGGTTGGGGAGGAACATGGGCCAGTCTTGGGGGTTGAGGAAAGCTCAGATGAGGGCTCTGCGTCGGAGGCAGAGAGGGAGTTAGACAGCAGTGAGGCAGAGGAACAGCTGGAGCCTGTTCCCAGTGCACACATGGGCAGAGCTGCCAGAAGACAAGAAAAACTCAGAAAGCAGGGTTGACTTAGGAGTAAAGCCACATCTTGGAGGTGATGGCCCTTCCCATAGGAAACCAAAGAGGAACGAATGGGGAGTGGGCTTTTGCAGGAAACAATTCGTTCATTCAGTTGTGTCAAGAGTGGAAAGTTCTGTTTGTGATTATAATTCCTTTAATTCCCAGTTGTGTAAATAAAAGAGGTTTTGCCGGGACCAAGACTTTGCTTCTTGCTTTTTAAGGAAGCCTGGGTCAGAATACAGTTCCATTTTTTTTTTAAATAGAGCAGATAACCAGAATTTATAGATCAGAGGCACAGGCTATTCTGTTTGTGAAAGAGCAAAAGAAGCAACTCAGATGCAGAATAGGCTGCTCTGGCCAGAAAACCTCTGATGTCCTTGTCTTGTTTTCTCAGAAGAAAAGAAAAATCGAGAGCGATGGAGATCCAGAACCAGTAGCTTCAGCTCCTCCGGCCTCTCCGGAGGAGGAGCAAGCAGAGATGAAGAAGAAGAAGAAGAAAAAGAAGGAAAAGAGGAAGATGGAGTCTGCGGAGAGCAGCGGAGAGTTAGTTGAAATGGTAAGTGCCCACGTAATCCATTGCCATGATTTTGGCGACCTCTTGGGCCGCGTGGTTAAAAGAGCAGCATCCCTCTTCTCCAGCTGATGGCACAGGAGGGTCCAGTAGTGGGTTGTTATGTCTTTATCTGCCCAGACACTGAGTCATAATTGAAGCCACGCCTCCAGTCCTCCCTTGCTTGGCCTCAATTCCAACTCAGTCTTTGCCTGATAGGGCATACATGGGCGTGTTAATTGTTGGTGAATATTTCAGTCATTGAAAATCGATTGTCTAATCACATGTTTAATCAGGCCAAAGCAAGTTGTACAGGTATTAGTCCTCAAATGACTGTAATGGAGGTTACCCAACATAGTTGTAACTCGTGGTGGGCGTTAATTGAGTCACCTACATCATGATATTTTTTTGCAGTGGTCCTTAAATGAACCAGTGGATTGCTATGGGCATGTTTTTGTCCAAATTGTTGTGAAATGCAATTATGGGATGATACAACTTGGCCTAAATGCTGCCAGGTTGCTAAGCATCCAAAGCGTTGTAAAGTTGCCATGGTGAGGAAAGGGAGGGAGCACATTCCACGCATACTTTTGGCTAGAGTCTGATCTCAGGTTACCCCAGCAGGTTTGCAAGGGGTGCACCTCACTGGGGAATGTGATTTATGACACAGACTGAGGGGGGAGGAACTGGGGTAAAGTTCAGCTATAATTCAAATGAGGCTCAGATCTGACTGCAATAAGATCTTTCCAAAATGGTGCTCCTAATAAATGACTAGCTTTCTTTTGAAACTTGGCTCGAGAATCATGAATCAATTAGGGCATCTTTCGGAAACCTGACACAAAGTGTGGTCAGGTGACAGGACAGGAGGAGGGCAACTATCAGAATTTTGAATCTAGGTTCTAATTATCCCCTGGGAGGCCTTTCGGAAGGTCGAATGGTCACTTAAGTGAACGGTCATCTAGATTACCTGTTACGGCATTTTCATATCACCTTTGTAATTTTTTTGGGTGGTTTAGCCACATATGCAAATCCTGGAAAGGCCTATGAAAAGCAGATAATTCTATAATGCACTGAAAATATCTGCAAACACTGTAGGATATGACAGGTTTTAGCTGCGATGGTCCATTCACAAGAACAGGGCCTGCATGTCCAGAGCAGCATCCGATACAGCAATAAAAGTTTGTCAAATGCAACAATTGCATTTCCCCCCCCCCCCAATTGCCATGCCATATTAAAAGCGTTCAAGCTAATTTCAAATTACTTTAGCTGGCAACATTGGGAACTAAACCTTGGAAATAACATTGGAATCTTTGGGTTCTCCAGGGAAGAGTGACAGGGATTCGGGTCTCTTTTGAGCTTCTTCTCTTCTTCCCCTAGGTCAGTGATCTGAGTGTGAAAAAGAAGAAGAAGAAGAAGAAACGAGAAGAAATAGAGGAGAGTTCAGAATGATTCCTCACTACCATCTAAAGCCAGCAGACCGGAACAGTTTGGGAAGGCAAAAAAACAAAACAAAACACAAAAGCCTTCGCGGAAAAAAATGCAGACTGGATCACACAGCTTGTCCTGATTGCTGTGCAAATTATTGGGGTGGGCCAAGGTTGGCACCCCCTCTCTGTCCTGTTCTAAGGATAGTTTTGAGATAATTAAGGCAGCCGACTCGCTCCCTGGTCCTTGGGACTTTCAAAGTAGTATCCAGGAGATGCGATACTCAATTTTGGCACTGTTAGCAACCTCCTTTTTGTATCTTATCTGCCCAAAGACCTGCTGAATGTTGGTGAAGGTTTAAGAGGAGAAAGCGGTCAAGCCAGGTATTGTCAGATGCTTCGTTTTAAAACGTTTTTGTAGCCTTTTTTTTTTTTTTACTTGCCTTGATTCCCTTCAGAACAAATCCAGACATTTCCCACTTGGGGCTAAAGCTTTTTGTTCATTCGAAAATGAACTTGCGCTAACTTGTATCGACAGGGAAGGAGGACATCAGCCATCGGGTCTAACTCAGAATTCAAGAATTTATTATTTTCCCCCCCCTTCCCAAACAAGTTATCCAGAAGAGGGTTGTGAAAATCAATCTCTGTGCTAGCAATTGTAGTTGAGACACGGCATCCTATTCAGCAGGATGGTCTGGTGATGGTCTTATCCCGTCCTCCCTTCCCAAGGCAAGAGTACCAATGCTACTTTTAAAAAGCTTTTTCCAATTAAAAGTTCACATATCTGATTTCAGTCGTGCTTTCTTTGGCTGGACTAGGCTACTGCAAAACTAGGGAGAAATGGACAGCTATTGAGATAAGAGAGGCCCAGAGGAATGGTAGCATTCCCC